TCTCCGAGTCCTGCCGCCACGCTCACCGCCACGGCCGCCGGCGGGCCCCCAGCCCACGCGCGCCCTTCTCCTCCAGGCTCCACGCAGACATGTTGTCCCGGACTGAAACCGCTTCCCCCTTAAAGACGCAGCGCTCGGTCGGCGCGTCGGAGGGCGCCCGGGGGGCGGTGACGTGTGTCTGGACGCAAAAGCGGCGGGGCAGCCCCTCGAGAAACAGCCAGGCCCACGCAGACCTTCAGAGCCGCTGCTGGAGAAATGGTTTAATAATCTGAAATTCGTCAGGATTTGGTTAATGGTGCAGGAGTTCAGTGATGTTTAAAACGTTCAGTGATGTTTTGTGTTTGCGTTAACCTTCCAAGACCTGGATTTCTGGTCCCCAGCTGGGGGCACAGCGGCATCCTTTCAGGTTTAAGGACTCTGTCTAAAGGGGTAAAATGTTCACAAAAATAGCGTGGAGTACTAGTTTTGTCTGTCTTATACTCGGGCAACAACTTCTGCAACTCAGTGATCCACGATTACAAAGGTGCCTTTTACAGGCAAATTTCGTCAGACAAATTACATCAGTCTGCTCTAAGGCAGTTTTCTTTCATTCCGCGATCCAGGCTAAAAGAGCAACCTTTTCAAGACATGCTCACTGAAGTGCTGGTAAGCCAGCCCTGGGGCTTATGGAGAGAGTCATGCTTTGTAGTATTTGCTATTTTAGTGGTGTAAATACTCCCACCACGGCCGATTTTAATCTACACGTAGTCACTGAGTGGCTTGCCAAGTTCCTGGACGCAGCAGTTAGCTTTTGTACAAAACTGATACATACCACTCTTCGATTTTTAAAGCGCATTACTTTCTTTTTGAGGATTTATTTTTAGTTTTTAAAATTAGAGGTAAATGGGGGGCGGTCTGTGCAGGTGTGAGTACTACAGTGTTGAGAAGAGGACATCTGATCCCCCCTTGGAGCTGGCGTTTCGGTAGTTGTGAGCTGCCCCAGTTGTGAGTGTTAGGAACTGAACGTGAGTCCTCTGCAGCAGTGCCTGCCGGCAGCCTCTCAGCCATGTCTCCAGCCCACATGCTGCTCTTTAAACCCATTCCTGGGATCTCAATTCTACTTACATTCTGTTGGTCAAAGCAAGCCACAGCAGAAAGCTTTGCTAGCCACGGAGACAAAGAACAAAGAGACAGAAAAAGAGAAACTTGGGTACAGCAATACAATGCATTCTACCTGTCTTGGTTCAAGTGATCTGGGAGTGGGAGTGCTGGCATGAGCCTTGCTTGTGCTAAGCACATGCTCTGCCCCTCAATTATTAATACATCCCTCCTCAGTGTTTTTAAGCTGATACTTTATATAAACTATTTGTTGAATTTTCTCCTTACTTTTCCAAGAAGAATTTCAGGAAACAAAACTGGTAGGTATCTTGAAAGGAATAGTTTTACAACCGAAAGGTTAACTATTAAATTACCACTCTTTAACCAAAGGACATTTTATGTTTATAGATATATGATTAAAAGATGGGGCTGGAGAGATGGCTCAATGGTTAAAAGCACTGACTACTCTTGTAGAGAACCCAGGTTCTGTTCCTAGCACCTACATGGCAGCTAACTCCATGTTCCATAACTCCGGTTCCAGGGGATCCAACACCTTCTCCAGGGCCTCTGTGGGCATTGCATGCACAAGACATACTTATTACAGGCAAAACACTCATGCACATAAAATAAAAAAATAAATAAAGATAAGTTTTAAAAAGAATTAGTACAAATGAATTAGCCATGCCATGTCTAGAAGACATCACTTTGCTGCACATCTGACCATCCTCTGGCTCTTATATTCTTTCTGCCTCCTCTTCTGAGATGTTCCCTGAGCCTTGGTAGTAGGGGTGATATAATTGTCCCATTTAGGGCTGAGCAATCCACCCTCATTTATCCTCAACATTTTGGCCAGTTCTGGGTTTCTGTATTAACCAATGCTCACTGCTGTAAAAGGTTTCTCTGATGAAGGCTGGGTGCAGCACTAATTTATGGGTATTTAGAAAGCAGTTTGACAACCTGACCAATGATCAACCTGACCAAAATAATAATGATCATAGATCTACCCCCCTAGGGCCCATGACCTCCCAAGTCACAAATTCCTAACCAGGTTGAGGAGGCTTCAAATCTAATCAGAAAGTGGTTGGTTACCTCCATAATAGTCATGCCATATTGCATTAGGTAGCATACCTTGCCTAGCAGGTCATTATTGTGGTTTACAGGATTTACAGCTGGGTAAGACTGTTGATGACCCTTCTATCCCAGTAGGCTGCATAGCATTTTCTGGTACTATGAAAGCTAACCAGTAGGGAGGAAGTTTCTAGTTCAGCCTTAGTGTGGTTTCTCCATATCCTGTGACCAATGTGTGTGTGTCTTCAGAATTAAGGTCTTTCCATCAAGTTGTGGTGGGTAACCAAGAGCACTGGCAATATTCTGTATTGTTTGGGGGCCTCTAGGACGTCCCTGACCGCAACTCAAAGGGGGGTATCCCACATCTGACGCTAGAATTTTTGTTTAATAACCCATGGTTTGGGGGAGGAACGTGATCCATCCATGGAGGGTAGTGGATCTTATTTTTTTTTTAATACTGATTCAATCTTTCATGTGTTACATGTCTAGACTGTCCTTCTTATTGTGACAGTTTGGGCAGTTTGTATCTTTCTAGGGATTTGTCCATTTCATTTCTGTGTGCTGGTATATGGTCGCTCATAGTATTCAAATCCTTTTTATTTCTGTAAGTTGACAGCAGTGTGCCCTCTTTCATTTGTTTCCCAGATGTGATTTTACTAAACTGTCCTCTGCAGCCATACCATCTGCCTCCAGTGAGGTGCCTTGCAGGAGCAGCTGCATAAAATTCATTATCAGATTTAGTATCATCATGTCATCCATTTCAACTGTCCACTGCCTCCCACAGTGTTTTCTCTGTAGAATCCAGAGATCTTACTATGCTGTCACAGAGTCATTATACGTTCTTCATCCCTTGAACAACTTGGGATCTGGCTTATATGATAGACTGTTCTCTTGCTTTAGCTTCTAGGAAGACTAGGTCAAATAGAGTTTATTAGTTTTACAAGTGGAATGGCTTAAAATATTAAATATGTGTCCTCCCATAGTTCTAGAGACTAGAGGTCAAAATCAAGGTGTCAGCAGGACCATGCTACCCAGCTTTGATGAAAACATTTATGAAAAATTTCCCCAAGGACATAAATTATAAAGCTGTGTGCATGGACAATTTTTTGGATAGCAGAGAGAAATGGCTGTCGTCCTATGGGAATTCTCAGAAAGGCATTAGAATTCAATTTATGTTTCTTAGAACTCTTATGAAGAAATGGTTCAGAGATTTGCCCCAGTTTTTGAACTTCTTTTCAGAATCTATTAATTCACTCTCCACGGGAGCCACATTTTCCTTCCTGCGCTCCTATGACGTCCTGTGAAGTTCTCCAGGCTCCTTTACTCGGCACTACATTTGCAGTTTCTGTTAACATACATTCAGGCGACTAGACAGAATCCAGCTTATCTGCTTTGGGACATACAGAGAAATATTTTTGCCTAAAAGTAGGGATTTTGCTTTTGTTTTTCTGGTATATCTCAAAGGGAAGGAGTAAGTATCTTGGTCTATTTTCCATTGTTATAACGAAATATCAGAGGCCGGGCACTTTTTAAATAAAATATGTTAGTTTAGCTTACAGTTCTGATGGTCCAAACATATAGTGTTGGTATCTGTTCCACTCACAATGAGGGTCAAAATGGTAGCAACACATGTAAGAGAGGTAAGTGAAGCATATGGAAGAGGAGGTGCCAGGCTTCCTTATAACAACCCATTCTTTGGAAAATCTAGTCCACGAGACCTGCCTTAATCCCTTTCAAAGGGATTATGGCCACACTGGAGATTAAATTTCTGAAGAAATCTTGGGTATTTGGGGAGCTTTTAAAAGTAACACAGATATTAGTTACTTTTCTCATTGTTGTGATCAAATACTTGACAGAAACAGCTTAAGGGAGAAAAGGGGAATGGGATGGAGACTTGGCAGAGTGCTTGCCTAGTGTTCACTAAGCCCTGGGTCTGTTCTCCAGCTGCACATAAAACTGGGTATGGTGGCACACACCTGCAATTGCAGCACTCAGGAGGTAGAGACAGGAGGATCAGAAGTTCAAAGTCATTCTCAGATACACAGCAAGTTTGAAGCCAACCTGGGCTCTCTGCCACTCTGTCTAAATAAAAGAGGGAGAGCAAAGGTTTAATCTGGCTCACCATTTAAGAAGACAGTCCATCGCAGTGTCAGGAGTGGCTCTTGGCCTTGGTTGTGTAACAGGACTGAGAATGAGAGACTGGCTGCATCATACAGGCAGTCAGGAAACTGCCTGGGCCAAGCAGGGCTAGGATAGCCCTCAATGCTCACAACACCACCCACCCTAACCTTAACCTAACCCCCTCCTTTCCCCTCCCCACTTCCTCCAGCTAGGTCCCATCTCCTAGAAGTCTCACAGCATCCCACAACAGCACCAACAGCTGGGGACCACATGTCCAAACACATGAACCCAAGGGAGACATTTCACATTCAAGCCATAACAATACTCAAGCTGTAACAGGACAGGAAAAAGAAAAAAGAAACAAAAGAAATGAGAGGAAGGAGAGGGCCATGGCAGGCCCTGTCAGAGTCCTCTGTGAGGCTCATGCTTGGCTGCACAGAGGAGAACAAAACAGAGCACACAGGGAGGCTCAGGCACAGACAGTTCTGTCCCACAGAGTGTTGCTCCTCTGGCTTCCCATTCAAAGAGTTGGCAGGGCAAGGGTAGGGGTTCCCACTGTTTGTTTAAAGGTCTGGTTTGACTAGCTAGAGTAGACATCTGGAGGCTTATCTCACTGTGAGTCCAGGAGTCCATCTCTCCATCTGTAGTCAGGGTTGACATGACCTGACCCTGATGATCAGACATTCCATACAAGTTTCAGAAGAGGTTACAAACTCCTTTTGCCAGAGGAAAAAGACAGATTTGCACAAAGGTGCTGGATTCACTGTTTTCTGAGATAATTGTAAAGAACAAAAACAAAATTAACTTTTTGTGTGTGTCTATTTTGCAGTGGGAGAAGAATAAACCATTACTTGTGGATGTGTGGCTTGGAAGAGTCAAGCAGAAGTCTGACTCACATATCTA